AAGAAAAAGTGTTTTCGCACTTTTTCAGTGAATGTGAATCATTGCAAAGTGATATTGATAATCTAGTTCAATGGAGTAATGAATGGAAGCTGATCTTTAACACAGAAAAATGCTTGTTATGCTCGGTAACAAGAAAACACGAACCAATTACATATGATTTGAACATGGGAACTAAAACCTTAATAAGAGTTGACAATCAACGTGATCTTGGCCTTCTAATAACTTGCATGTGACGCCGGTTTTAATGATAACATTTATGCACAGGTTAATAAAGCTAATAAGAGATGCTAGCGTTTATACCTCGTACCATCTGCATACTAAGTGAGCAATATTTACCTACACTGAGATCACTTTACACGGCGCTAGTGTGCGTTCCCACCATGATGATTCCTCTGAAATCTGGAGCCCGAGGTCCGATCTCTATGATAAAGTTAGTGGAGGGGTCCAACGACGTGCGACAAGGGTTCTCCTGTCCAAGCTAAGCTACAATGAGCAGCTCAAACGATTGGATCCACTTCCGTTAGTTTACCAAAGAGAAGTCAGAGACCTTGAAACTTTTTACAGACTCAAGTGTGGTCACTATGATTCCTCGTTGGACTTCCATTTTCAGTTCTGCTCTGATATGATACTAATTAAGGTCATTCTCAAGTAATAAACTTACTAGACTAAGATTAAACTTAGTTAAAACCGACGTCTTCAAGAGAACGTTTTCAATAGAATTCCTTATTTATGGAATAACTTATTACCCTACTACCACAAAACTGAAGTTTTTAAATAGAATTCCCTATTTATATTATGGAATAACTTACTACCCTACTATCATAGAACTGAATTTTTTTTTAATAGAGTTCCTTATTTAGCAAACTTGCTAACCGTTTATGTAAACCTATTGATTTACGGTTAGTCTTTACTACTTTCAAAGTCAGGAATCTTTTTAATGTGAAAGATGCTGTCCCTGAGGGGCTGCGCACGCGTGTGGTCTATAAATTTTCGTGTGCAAGTTGTAATGCTTGTTATGTTGGTGAAACCAGCCGACACTTCTCCACACGAGTGCGCGAGCACTTACTTTCAGACAGGTCTTCGAACGTTTTTAAACATCTGCAGAGTTCAGAGTTTTGTAGAGCATCCCACCGGATTGCTTCGAGATGCTGGACTCTTCGGCCACTAAGTACCAAGTGAAGCTTAAGGAATTCATGTTTATAAAATGGGAGAAGCCCGATCTCAACCAGCAGGTGAAACACATTAACCTGACTCTCTCCCTGTAAAGAACTAAGCGTCACTCATTTAATTTTTTGTTGTTGTCTTAGTATGCAATATTGACAACGCCATGTAACGAACTTTGTAAGATCGCGCGCGCTTTAAGTTCAACGGCGATTTCAAAATATGTAACACTGAAGATGACGGATGTACCGTCGAAACATGTCTGGAAAACTAAAGAAAGTTGTTATATATATGTTTATACGAATTCCTTATTTATGAAATAACGTACTACCCTACTACCTTAGAACTGAAGTTTTTTTTTAAAAAAATAGAATTTCTTATTTATGGAATACCTTAGAACTTAAAGAATTCCTTATTTTTTTTTTTAAAAGATAGAATTTCTTATTTATGGAATAACGTATTACCCTACTACCTTAGAACTGAAGTTTTCTTTAATAGAATTCCTTATTTATGGAGTTTTTTTGACGTATTTATGGAATAAATTACTACCTTAGAAGTTTTCTTTAATAGAATTCCTTATTTATGGAGTGACGTATTGCCTTACTACCTTAGAACTGAAGTTTTTTTGAAGTAGAATTCCTTATTTATGGAATAACGTATTACCCTACTACCTTAGAACTGAAGTTTTCTTTAATAGAATTCCTTATTTATGGAGTGACGTATTGCCTTACTACCTTAGAACTGAAGTTTTTTTGAAGTAGAATTCCTTATTTATGGAATGACGTATTACCCTACTACCTTAAAACTGAAGCTTAGCCTGTAATTCAAAAAACATTGCAGAGCTTATAAGGGGCTTTGATCCAGATCGCCCACATGTAACCTGGGCATGAAATCATGGCAATTATCAATTTATATGCGTTACTTTTTCTGACAATTTCTCTTTCTTTCTTTGTTATAATGTAATTGCGGGCGACAAGAGGAGCCTGCAATCCTAATCTCCAGGTTGTTATTACGCATGCTCCCATGTATGTAGCCAGCATTCGTTTGGACCTCCACTAAGAATGAATGGAATGTACAGAACGCAATTTGATCCCGAGCGTTTGGAGGCTTCCCTTGTAATCTGATCACGCATGTTTTGACTGTCTCTCACGTGAAACATACGCAAAGCACAGCGATAGAACAAAAACGTTTGTCGCCCGCACTCCGTAACCTTTGGTTATTGCTAGTCTAATTTTAAATTAGGTGGACTAGCCCGTACGGTTCTTCCGTTCCCTTCTTGCAACCTCGTTCCCAGGGACAGGTAGGAGAGAACCCTGGGAACGAGGTTGCCCTTCTAGTGTTTCCCCGCTGTTAACCTGTGTCTGTATATTTATTATATTGTATGCAGTAAAAAAAAACATGCCCAGCCCCAGGCCCAACCCCGACTTCTGAGGATTTTGGGCTTAACATGGGGAAATATAGCTGATTCCCCCTCATAACTCTTGATAAATTTCGTCACTTTTTGCACCAAAAAAATCATCATCAACGTCAAGGAGAAAGAAGAAAAAACAACAACATCGTTCCTAGGGTCTTCTCGTTTTCCACCGCCATATTGGAAAACGAGAAGACCCTGGGGACGAGGTTGGGAAAAACAAGAAGAAGGTCCTAGAAAACAATACCGGGAGGACTTTAATCGTGGTCGTGGGACTAATTTTCTGTTCGCTAGTTGAAAAGAATGATAGTTGAAAAGAATGCGCTTGTAGATTGTATCATTGCTGTCTTTCCTACTAATCATCCACTTATCTGTGGCTAGTAGAAAGAAGTGTTATTAGCACGATCCTCAGGGAGCTAAGGGGCGCATCCAGAAAATTCGGAAAGGGGCAGGGAACAGAGAAGACAGAGAACTCACTAAAAATAATACAAAATTTAACAGAATGGATAGGGTGGCCGATTGGTCCACTCGGCCGACCCCTAAATCCACCTATTTTAAAATCTAGAACTTTAGCACCCGTTTTAAGAGTTTAAAGTACAAGGTCAACTTGCCGTAAGGCTGGACTAAATGAATATGAGACAGACGAGACTGTTAATTCGGATTAAGTGTAGAGCTGAGAAAGGCTGACCATTCCTGGAGAGGCGATGGCGCTGTTTCACAATGATTCAGTTATCTAGAGTTATGTTTAACAATTCAGAATTAACCTGTTATGACTGTTATGGCATTGTTCAAATTAGTTGAGTTAGCTTTGGTACCAGCACGTTATAAAAGGATTAATGTAAGAGTGTCACAAAACATTCTCCATGTAAATTGAAATGTACACTTCCGAAACAACAGACTTTTTAAATAAAGTTGTGGTTAGAACAAATTGAGACTGCAAACAATTTTATCTCCTAGTAGAATCGACGCATATATTTTATATGCTCTCAAACTAGCATTGTCCAACAGATTTGAGGATGTTGAGTGGTCCTTCTGAATTCTTCTAAATTTCTTTCAATGGTTTTTCCTGGGGGGTTCCCAAATACAAATGATCTCCTCTTCTGTTCTTCTGAAAACGGGGCGCAAGTATTATTCTTGAAGCACAACGCACAAGTCGAACAGTAACATTATTTAACAACGCAAGTTGGATCCCCTTTTATAATGAAACGTATACTAAACGTTGTGAACTGGCCTTTAAAAGGATAAATGGCTGTCAGTTACCCGAATATTTGAGGGCATCTCTAAGAAAAAACTCCGGTGTTGACTCAAGAAACACGAGAAATTGTAATGTGAACTTATTGTGCCCTCTTCACAGGAACATCTCGGAGGGAGGACGCACCTTTGCTGTAAGAACTGTAAAGGACTGGAACATTCTACCCCGATTGCTGAAGACAAAGAAGTCTTTGAAATCCTTTGCGGCTGGATTATGGAAAATAGTTTTAAATTCTCAGAAGTAAAAGGGATGATTAGATGCTCTTCGTTTTTAATAGTTTTTTTATTTTTATCGAATTCTAGAAATATTTTTATTGTAGATAGTAATTTATTGCTAATGTAGTTTTTATAAATTGTGTTTTTATATTTCTAGAGGGCCACAAATTGATGATCAGTAATGTTCAGTTACTGTTACGTGTCACCCTCATAAAGAAATAAGAAACATGGCGGCCAATGCCGGCCGCAGCGGAGCGTATTTGAATTTCCATGTATTTCTTCCTACGAAATTCGTCTCCTTTGTTTTCAATAACTCGCTCTAGCTCTTTCTGTGTTATCCACGTTAGTGTAAACATAAGAAATAACGCCGAAAAAGACACGACTTTGTTGTTGTTTTTTCTTTCTAAAAGTCCGGTCCGCCATGTGATTTCCTTCCAAATAAAACCTTGAGTTGCATTTGGGTTGCCATACCTGTTGATTGAGTTATTTTACATTGGTATGCCTGTGGTGCAGACGGACGTTCGGAAGCGGTCAGTATACGGTCACGTGATTGCCAAATTTTCTCGGATGGGTAGATTGCCACATTTTCTTAAATATGGGGCTCCGCCCACGCGCGGCGCTTCGCTAAGAACACAACGTCAAGTGAGGATCACGAGAAAACGCGCAAGTAATAGCCCTGTTGCGTTTGTTATAAACAAACGTTTTGCCGCCCTCTTCTTTCTGCTCTCCTTTTCTATTTCTCACCCGGCCAGTTTTCCACGTCGGTTTTCATTCTCGTTCGGTTCCTGGTTGCACTGCAGGCGCAGAGTGTTCCAAGTGTTCGAAAGTGTCGTCACGACAATTCGTCATGAAACGTCCCTATGGTAACTGTAAGTTTTGAAAGTTTTAGTTCGCATTTGTTCTTGTGCTACTGTTTGTACCACATCGCCTTTTCTAACGAAAATATTGGCGCAATTGTAACATGGTCGTGCTTCAAAAATCGGATAACCAACTATACGCAGACATTGTTCGATGTTTGAAACAAAATTTTCGATCTGAGTTTCAACCGCCTTTCGTTGCGCCGCATGGCGAGCGAAAAGTCCGAATTCGAACGGGTTGTCATTACAAATCGCAATTACCGGAAGACCATTGGCGAGAAAAGTACAATCGCAATGTAAAACAGAGTGTTCGAGGATTTTATACGCCGGCTCATGTTCCGTATGCTTCAGTTGGAGATGTTTGTTTGGATGTAAAAGACCTCGTAGTGAAAACAGTCGGCTGCGAACAGAGCCCTGAGAAGGTAGGTTAAAAGCTTAAAACACGGTTGTTTTACTTATATATTCACATTTATTCTCATTCTTAAATCTGAAAAGAGGTTCTCATTTAAAGCAATTTACCACTCTATTCTTCAGAATCAGCTAGGGTATATTGTATGTAAGCATTTAATATAACACAACCTCCGCTACAAGAAATCCAACGATGTCCCTGATTTGAAAACCAAATATATCAAACTTTGTTATCAGAACATGCACATGCACTGGTTGACATCCCTGTTTTCTCTGTAAAATTCCCTTGACCTTTGCAAAAAAAATTTCGTCATGTCTTGATTAGCATCTCATACAGCTTTTTTTTATGGAGGAATTAAAAAATTCCTTCATTTGAAAAATATGTCCTGTAACCCTGAGTAGTTATCCTGAGTTATCTCGTTATTGTTTCAGTTTAATAATTCCAGTCTTGCTGCTGATCTCTGTGAAAAAGAGAAAAAGAAGGACGAAGATCATGTGGTAATAAGTCAGAAGGTAGGGCGAGAAACACAAATTCTGTTATAAGTAATGGCAAGTTATTGTTTTTACGACATCGCAAAAAGGACGACAGGAAGAAAAGGACGACAAAACGCTTTTGAGTGGCAGAAGTGACAGGGCTGTTACCTATCTGTTTTGACGTAATCTTCACTTGACATTAATTTTTTGTTTCCAGTCTTTTACAAAAAAGATCTATTTAAAAGAAGGTGAAGATTGGCGGAAGCTTTTTTCAAACAAAATTGTTGTCACGCTTGTCACACAAGGTTTGCCGTCTTCTCCCCTCTTTCGTCCTGTTGCGTTAGTTCACTCAGCGTACGCCTTTGGTAAGTTGAAAATACAATTTTTCTACGATTTTTAAAAATAATGATGTTATCATCTACTTCGAAAATGTAGAAGGGGCCATTTAAGAATACGAGGTTTTATTTATTTTAACATGTTGTTGTTTTTGTTGTTCACTTGTTGTTTTTCAGTATCTGAAAAGGATGATTTTTTGTCATGACTTTGAAACAGTAAACTGTGTACAAGATAATAGTGAAGTAAACTTTATACAATTGGTTTACCTCATTGGTCAATAATAAACAGCACATTTCCTCTTTTTATAATTAGAATACCGTAAAATTCCGAAAATAAGCCCTTCCAAATATAAGCCCCCCAAACTCGTAACGCAAAGAACCCTCCGTTAAATCACCCCTCTAAAATTAAGCCCCCCCGGGAGCTTGTACTTGGAAATTGCCCTCAAATACAAAGTAAAACAGAGCAAAAACGGAAAATCTCTTTCCAACTATAAGGCTAGCCCAATCGATTTTGAAACGCAAATTTACCTCCATAGAAAAGCCCCTGCGAATATAAGCCCCTCAAAAAGGGCCTTTGAAAAATATAAGCTCCGCGGGTTATTTTCGGAATTTTACGGTAACCTTTTTGTTCTGAATTATTGGTTTACACTTTTGTAGAAACAGAAATTACAAGGATCAAAGAAGAGGGGGTGTTTCTTGTTTCAAGATCAAGGTGGATTGAGTGAGATCAAAGCAAAGCTTTCTCAATACCAGGGAAGATTATCGGCTTTGCGAGCGGGTCAAACGTTTCAAGAATGTCTTAAAAAGGAGGATGTCATGCTCATGGTAAGAAAAATGAACCTCTTTCATCTCTGCTCAAAATCATAGCTTTACATAACATTACAGAAAGAGAATCCGGATTACGGAATCCGGAAAATTTTTACTTAACAAAATCCGGAATCCAGCAATATTTGCTGTTGAATCCGGATTTCATGGTTTTGGAAATCTGGAACGCATTCTAAGGAATCATGAATCCTGCTGCCTGTAATCCTGAAACCAAGTTCCACTGGCACAGAATCCGGGAATCCAGAATCCACACCGCAGAATCCAGAATCCAAGACTAGGACTCCCTTTCATGGATTCCCTCACAGTCGAACTTGCGGTAAGCGACCACCCAGAGTGCGAAGATTAGGTGGTTGCCTGCGAGTATCGAACTATGCGAGTCTCTTTCGAGAAGAGGTCCCAAGACATCTGCTTTTATGCAAAGATTGTTTACATGCAGTTTCTATATGTGAGGTTCTACGTTGTCACTTATCAAAGTTCTGTATACTTTTGGAAGCCTGGTACTGATTGTGAACATAGAGATTAGACCACGGGTCAGTTGGTCGCCTACAACAGGTTAAAAATTAAAAAACCGTCTCCCCCAAAAGTGGTAGCGGTCGCTTACTAGAGGTGGTCGTTTTCTGCTTAGAATAAAGCGGAGATCGTCTAAAAGCTCTACTAAGCTTGCTTGATCTCCTGCCTTGTAGTAGTGTGATAGGTTATGTGTGTACAAATGAATGTATGGTAAATAATTACAGGGCTTTGACTAGGAAAAGTTTCCATGTTTTTGGATAGATGGCAGCTTATGCAAGGTGATCGCTTAAGAGAGGTGGTCACACATGGGCGGGTTGAACTATATTTAACATTTTTCCCTTAAACATGTTTATAATTTGTTCTTCAAAAGTTTTGTTCTTTGTTTTAGTACATTGAAGCGATGAAAGAATCGAGTCAAAATCAGCCCGGCGAGTGTGCTATATCGCCTGCAGATAAACTAAAGACGATACTGAATAAGATGAGACCATCTGAGCGTTTGGATGCACCTTTACTTGGAGATGAACTAATTCCTGCTTTACCGAACGAAATCAAGCCTGAACATGAGGAGGAGATCATTGATCAAAGGCTGGTTTATAGATAAATGCATAACATAATAATGAACTAACCCATTATTTTCTATATATATATAAAAGCGACAATAGCACTACGGAATCATTCTCATCACGTGTCAACATTAATCGTGAGATGGTAATAAGCAATTTCTACCGAAAATTGTGCTTTACTTGCTTGTCGTTGGTTTTGTTCTTGTTTCATTATAAGGAAGCTTAAGCAAAGACGTTTTTGAGTAATGCATGTCAACCGGAAGTGAATCCTTTACCCTTTTAAAATGCCTTGATGGTACCAAATTTGTATTCTTTAGTGTCTTTTCTCTCAAGGAAACGATCTGCGAAAAAAAAACACTGGTCAAACTCTCGCCCTAAGATTGCAAAAACCCCACATCCGGTTGACATGTGTTGCTCAAATAACGTCCTATTTTCTTAAACTTTCTAATGTCGTTATTATTATTTCCCCTTTCCACTGTCGTTGTTGTGGTTGCTCAAGCTCGCAAGTAGCGTTAACCAACGATTTTGTTCAGTAAACCAACTATTTGATAGAAAACGCTTGACAAAAAACAACGTCCACTGGTAGAAGCCCTCTGCAGTTACACCCAGTGAATGGTTCTTCCCCTTTTCTGGTCAAACTGGCATATATATTCGATTATTAGAGTCAGTTTTTAGGGTATAGTAGTCTTGTATGACTTAAATTGATAAATTTTCTTGTTTTTTTTTTTTCTAGAGATGTTCACGATCGATATGTGCGTAACTTCAGCGGTAAACTAAGTTGTATCTACACTTTACTATGTTACATCTATCATCTCAGGACGAGAGACCTTCGAACCAAGGTAGGCGACCCATCCGGGGTAATATTCCATCGGTACCATGACGACGGTATATTTCTCCTATTTATAATAGAAACCCATGTTTTTAATTAAGAGGACTCCACAAAATGGCGAAAGAGGTCACAACCATCCAATCCGAAGACAAAATAGCCGTCTGAAAACTGGAAAATATTTTGAAAATATTTCTGACATTTGGAAGAATGGTATAATACCTGATTTATGTTTGTTTGTGTTCGAAAAATATACGCCCAGAAGAGCTGAAGCTCGCATAAAATTATTGTATGTTTGTAAGAGTATAACATACAGGCTAGTTGACGTTTTTAACTGCATGAATGCTTTTTCATTTTCACTCGACGATCACATCGACGTTCTGAATTTTTGCTCCTAGGCTCCTTTATCAAGAGACTTTCTAAAAGCACTCAAAACAGAGGTCCTCACAGACCAAAAAGGAAGGCCTCTTAGGCATACACGAAACATGTGCCACATTCAGCCTCAGTCCCGCGGGACCGGAAATCAGAGGTCATCTACCGACGTCCCAGGATCCCGTATGGAACACGACAATAACTTGTCACCGCACATGAACACGCGTGCAAGTTTTGTCAGCGATTCACCTTCGTCGCTATTTCGTACAGGAATAACAGGAACTGGTGCCATTGACTCTAGAGCCTCCTTTGTCGTCCGTAAACTAAGGTAGGGAGTTGTAATGATCATCCTCATTGCAATCAGTCAGTTCGAATAAGACTGTTCTCACGGAGGGACCAGACCACACCCCAACGGGTTCGTGGAAATTTGGCTAATTTACAGTAACTTTGTTGGCTCTAACTCTTCCTCTTATCCACCTTAACCTGAAAAAATATAAACTTGAATTATCACATATTTTGGCATTAAAAAGTTAAATTATGACGTCAAACTTGCCGACGTCATTCATACGTAAATTTTAAACTTAAACTCTCCCATTTTTCCCCATGTTACCAGAAAACCATTGATAATTTCATAATTCGACATTTTGCGTCAAACACACACTTATAATAACCTGGTCTGCATTTGAAGTCTGTCTGTTGGGTTGACGTTCAAGAAGTGAAAAGAAATGTAAAAGACACGGGTTGGCTTGGCCCCACCGTGCTAGGGTTGAGCTAATCGGACGATTTCACTAGGGTCAGTTTGATAAGTCTTCTTCAGGTTGTTTGTTCTTCTGCCAATGGTTGAGTTCAATACCTCTCCATTTCATGTATCTCTTAGCAACATCTTTAAGCGCAATCTACGCCACCTTTGATTACGCATTCACCATTAGAATTGACTTTACGAGTACAACAGCTGGTTTGGCAAGTCTGGCATCCTATGTACAACTGACTAAGCCAAGGTTTTTTTTTTCGATTACTTTTCCCCAAACGTTTGTCCTCCTATATGAGGATACTTTCATTATTCATTATATATGACTCTTATTTTACCTTATCATTAGCCTTGGAGCAAGCTCTCCGGGGCGCTCCTTCCCACTACGTCTCTGGAATTTGAATTCTACTGAGCTGTCTCAGTTTTCCGCCAATCAGCGCGAATGTAAACAAACATTGAAAAGCACGTGTCAAGGGTAATGACGTCATTACTAATGTCATCTCCGCTAATAAGCATTCCGCATCGACTTTTTCGATACAGATGTTCAAATTCCAGAGACGTAGTTGCAACTGAGTTCTCCTTCCTTTTCCAACCCCTCTGCCATAGCGCGCCGGAGAGCTTGCTCGCAAGCTAACTCATCATATCCTGGTTTAAAGGATGGATGCATGGGGCCAAAGTATGAGCTCCAGGTATTTGCTTTGCGATACTTAGTTTCTTGTGTCCGAATGCTGATTTTTATGAGAGATTGTTTTTAGATTTCTCGAGGCTGAAACGCCATACAAAAGGGCTCTTTGCCTGTTATTGAGTTTCCACTGCCTTAGCTATGTATAGCGCGGTAATGAAATATTATAACAGTAATTTTTCAGATCCGGAAATGCTGGATTTTGTAAATTAATTATTAACTTCACCTCGATTCGCCCGAAAATTCATTAAATCATGGAGGTGTTCGATATATAATAACGAACCCTCGATATAACGAAAAAAATTTCCCCTGTCTCTTGACACTTCGTTAAATCGAGTTTCCACCGTAATAGCCACAGCCTTAAATTGTTATAACTCATCAAAACATCGTTAAAGTCATCTTTAATGGCTTATAACTCAAACACGATTCAGCGAAACCCACCGACATTGCAACTGATATAAAAAGGTCTCTTTAAAGGAAAACCTCTGTAAGACGGACACCTAGTGTTGGTCCCTGCCGTTTTTCAGTCATTTTACTGTAACTATACTCTCTATAAGACGGACACCTCTCTAAGACGGACAACGAACGCTTTTCAAACCATCAACGGACAATTGAGAAGTGCTTTATGTAGAGGGAAACCACCTCAGACCAGAAAAGGAGGTGCGTTGAGACCAAGAAGCGGTGAACGTATACTTGTCATGAACGTTTGATCATGATTGCACAATAAGAAAATAGTTCCACTTTCCTGTTACAATGTTCCAGTCATAATCTGTTTGGAACAAGTTAAACAGACGAGGTCGTGTGTTCATTGCTAATAGGTACAGCTTTCCTGGTAAAGCCACGTTACCCCGAATCTCCGGAAACCTCTCTAAGATGGACAGTTAGTGCCGGGGCCCGAAGGTGTTCTTCTTAGAGAGAGTCAACTGTGGGAGTTTTTAAGCAAACGTTAATAAAACAATTATGTCTTGAGGTCACAGAGCCATCTTAAATTTTATAAAAGGTTTTAAAAAGTTCTTTAGTTTAATAGTGCTGATAAAATCGACTGATATATAACGTGACTGATTGACCGGGTAATGTAATTTATTGCAGGGTACGGGATACTTCTGACAAAATAGAAACTTGGGACGACCTACTAGAAGCGGGAGAAAAACCACCTTCTAATTCCCAGGGTCCATGGCCGGGAATGGCGCGCAGTGGTGCAGCTAATGAAGCTGGTGCGAGAGGTGGAGTTACAAGAACAAGTTTTCTAAACACAGCTGGCTGGAAGATGTCCTTTGGTGGAATGAGACATAGGTACGTCTAGGGGCTATTAATACAACACCGAGGTGACTTTCAATTTTGAGTTTACTCCATTCGTTATATATTTCTCCATATTTTTTTTTACATGATACCAAAACGACATTTCATTTCCGTTCATTCCCTCCGGAATGAGTTCATTCAGCGTTTCAATCGGAGTGAAATGCTCGTTCTTATGCCAACTTCATTCCGGTATCATGTAAACTCAAAACGAACTTTGATATGAATTGAACATCAAACATCGTGTAGTCTGGGATGAATAGCGCATGAGTACCTGATCTGGCGCAAAAACCACGTGAGGGAGAACGCCTTAAGCTAAGCCGGTCTATTTAAACACGTGAATATAACTTATTCGTACTTCATTCCGGAGCGAAACTCTCCGGAATGAAAGTAATTTCGGTATCCTATTAACATCCCCTTAAGACCGCTGGTCGGCGAAAGCATTCTCTCTTCTGGTCGAAATTCTCTCTGCTCGCCCGCGCACTTGCATATCATTCCCGCTCTAAGAATTCCGAGCAACGTTATAATTTGAACCGGTTATGCTTTCAGACGATATGGAATCCTGCAGTCATTGGTAAATCAAACCCAGAACGTTGCAACTGTTGAGCAGACGCCTCTGTGGCACCAAGTGGCCACATCTGAGAAAAGTAAGAACTTGAGCCGCAGAGGTTTTATGTATTATAATAGGGGTGGGGGGAGGGGGAGGGGGATTTACCCCGGGGGAAGGGTGTGGTTGTTTAGGAATGTTTCGGGGTGAGTGCGTCGCGCTAGAATCCGGGAACCCCTTCCAATAACCAACTAATCAACTGCAACTTTTACAATACAGTAAGTAGTAATAGTTGACACTAGAGCTGCCCCCGCTTTGTGTATTACCGGTCAATAGTATTCTTGCTCGTTGTGTAGCTCTTTGAAATATACCAATTCGTATTGAAGATTTTCACACATATTCCATACAATAGGTGAGAGTAAAACAGCAAACGCAAGGTTCCATACTCTGTTTCAGTTCGATTTACACAGCTTTGATGAAAACATTCGCAGTTTCGAGAATAGTTTATTCTAAACCATAAGAAACTATTTAATCAGAAGTTGGAAGTTGCCACTATTTCTCCTTCTTTTTTTACATACAGTTCATTTTATTTGCCGGAAAGTAAGCCTTAGAAATTCAAAGCTTTAATGAATTCTGGTTGGCGCTTTCTAGTCTTTGTTACTTTAAACTTTATGAAAGGAAATCTGTGAGCTGGGAATAAGTCAGCATAGAATTCGTTTGTTGGCAAATTCCTGTAATCGTCCATCGTTCTGCTAGTGATAAGCTACCCGTTGACTCACTCGTCTTGCTTGTTTGCAGTTATTCCCCCAAAGAGAGAGAAAGAGTGTCTAGCAACACATTGTTTCCAACGAAAGATTTTTGAACTCGCTTTGGCAAACTCTCCAAGTGTTCAGATATACACAGTTGTGCGGAGGCTAAAATTTGCCAGTTAGGACCCCTCTATAAAGAACCTGTTTAGCCTAAAAATTTGAAACAGGTTATTATTTTTCTACAATTGTTTGAAAAAATTTTGTACTCTTGTGCAAATAAGATATTTTAGTCAACATTCTGAATCCTAATTGGAGACATCGGGGCAGGTTGTCTGTTAGCTGCGTGATAAAGTAGCTTATTAAATATTTTCAAAACTGTTAGCCTGCGTAGCAGGCGTCGAAAGGGGTAGGGGGTAGGGGATAGGGAGGAAGGGAAAAAGGGGAGGGAGATTGGGGAGAGGGGGAGGGGACGCCTGCTCTAAGAACCCCCTTTTGTTCATATCTGCGGACGCTGGCGTCCGCAAATTCCTGATTGGCTGAGCCGTAATGAGTAACATATTGAAATGCGCGTTTCACAAATCAACAAACAGTCGAGATGGCAGCGGTAGACGTGGATGTCGTAGAGAGTGCTTTGAGAGATGTGAATTTATCTAGTGGTAGAGAAACTGTTTTAAAACCAGAGCAAGAATCATCAGTAAGGGCTCTTTTACCCGACAGAGATGTTCTGGCGGTTTTGCGGACCGGATACGGCAAGAGTTTAATTTACCAAAGGTTTGTACGCGAGAAGAACTACGAGCTAAATGGTAATGCGGCGATTCTCGTCATTTCGCCACTGAAAAGTATTATCGAAGACCAGTTGCAGGAGATGGAATTGTTGGGCTACCCAGCGAAAGATTTAGCCAATTTATCGAACGATGACATTCGCCGAAGTAACTTAGCAATAAAAGAGGGTGGTTTTACCTCATGCCAAACTGCTGCTTATTCCAATAAAGTTGTTTTTATCTGCTGGGTAGATTATGCTCCGGAAGGTTCTGCATTTATACTGAGCAAATGTTATTTTAGCCGCATGTTTCACTCTGAGAGGTCATGACATACATATCGATTGACTGTAGTTATTGTTTTCTGGTCGGCAGGATTTGCCCTCTGATGCAAGCGCAATTTCTTTGACCTCTTTTGAAGCGTAAAGCTTTTTTTATTACGGCTGAATAAGGGTTCCAATTTTCTCCAAAGTGCCTTCTAGATCTGAATAACTAAGCGAATTTCTTTAGTCCGTGAGTGTAATGTTTTTCTGCAATGGCGAGTGTAGCGACACTTGATTGACAGTAAGCGTAATCGGATTACTAGAAAATTGGTAGGCGTTATGCAAAAACATAGGCTCTTAGAGCAGGCGCTCCCTTCCCTTTTCCCTTTCTCCCTCCCCCCTCCTCCTCCCCTTTTTGCGCCTGCCACGCAGGCTAAAAACTGTTTGCACTTATCCCGGCAAGTGACTGTCCCCCCTTCCCTAAAAGTCAAGTAATAGTCCCATTGCGGGAGGGACGGAACACGCAACGCCCTCTTTGTACGCGTGGCAATTTTGTCTTTTCTCCACATACACGCTACTAAGAAATATATTGGGCTTTGCACAGGCAGCCCAATAACTACCAGCTTAGCCTGGTTCAGGCTCTAAGTTAGTGATATACAAAGATCGTTAAAACTGATACGATAAACCCTCGGGGGCTATTAGGCTTTGACCTTCTTCTCGCTACTGTTTGAGAGGCTGGCACTGGCTACTAAACCATTCAGAGCGGATATTCAAGTCGTTTTTGATGATCATTTGTAGGCCTGGAATAGATTTCCAAAAACAGTTCAATATAATAGCCCTGAAAGAACAATTTAGATTATGTTTCTTTTTTCTTTTATAACCTGTGTAGATGCTAAAGACAATGGAAACAGTGGCACATTTACCAAGAGAAGGTGACTAGATGTTAATTGTAATAAATAATATGGACACTCACAGGTCGATGAGGTCTTAGTGGAGCTCCATGGGCGCGCTTTGCGCCCGCGAGCGTAGCTCCATACCTAAGAAAATGAGGTAATCTACCCATCCAAGAAATTTTGGTAATCACGTGACCGGAAGCCGTCCGTCCGCACCACGGTTTACCAATGTAAAATAACTAAATCATCATGCATGGCAGACAAATTGCGTAGTCCCACCCACACCTGGAATTTCTGTAATTTTTCAGCTTTGTTGGGTACCCTCTGGAAAAGATACTTACGTAAAACAGTTGTTCCACTATATTTTTATGCGAAAGATATTTTTTTTCGATAAAATGAGAAAAATCTTTCCATTTATGTTAATACGGTGTCTGATGAACTCAAGGACGTTCTCAGCTAATAATTAACCATACAGGCGAACGGATACCTTACACTTTTGACTACACGAATAATGTCATCTGCAAAAGAACCATTTAGATTCAAACTAAACACCACATGATCGGGCTTTCGCTCTTTACACTCAACTGTAAGTGCTCTCCTTGAAGCTACTTATAATTAGGCCTTTAATATCGATCGTGGTAATGTTAATAATGCTATGGTTTTTCTTGATTTAAAAAAGACATTTGACACTGTTGTACATGATATCCTTTTATCTAAAATGAACCTTTACGGAATGCAAGGAATTGGTCTCGATTGGTTTAGATCGTATCTGACAAATCGTACACTACGATTTCTAGTTAATGGTTCCTTTTCTAGAATCTGTTCACTTCAATGAGGGGTACCTAAGGGAACAATTCTTGGTCCCCTTTTATTTCTTATTTAAATCAACGATTTACCAAACTGCCTAACTTCATGCCAGCCTAGGATGTATGCTGATGACACGCACATCACTTATGCAGATGTTGATGTGAATTCAATACAGCTAAATTTGAATCACGATTTAGGTAATCTAAACAAATGGCTTTTTTCCAACAAACTTACTTTGAACACTGCTAAAACTGAATTTATGCTAATTGAATCAAGACAAAAATTGAGTACTTTTGTCGAGCCAACCAGCCGAGCTCTCGATTGATAATGTTCCGATAGAAAAATCGCTTGCATGGAATATTTATTGATGAAAATCTACGGTGGCAAACGCACATCGATAAATTATCTAAGAAGATCGCTTCCGGGATAGGAGCAATTAAATTAAAAGAATTAGAGATTTTGTTCCAACGCTTACTCTCCATTGTACATACAACGCTCTCATTCAATCTCAATTCGATTATTGTAATATTGTGTGGGGTAATTGTGGAAAACCTTTGTTTAACAGGCTACAGTAGCTTCAGAACCGTGCTGCTCGTGTTCTAACCTTTTCTAGATATGATGCTGATGCCAACCGCTTATTTAGACAACTTAATTGGAAAGACTTGAGCACTCAGTTTCAAATGAAAAAAGCCCTAATGGTTTACAACTCTTTAAATGATCTTGTTACAGGATATTTATCCTCTAAATTTGTTAAACGATATGAAACGCGCTACTCCCTAAGGGACTCTGTTAACAAAGTAATTGTCCCGTTCCCGCGAACTAACTTCATGAAGAACAGCTTCAATTATAGTGGAGCAGTTCTCTGGAACAGTCTGCCTGGTGATATGACTGAGGCTAAATCTTTAACTCAATTTAAACGATTGGCTCATCTAAATTTCTGTTTTTTAAAGTACTGTACGTGTACACGGCACTCATGAAAACCAGGTCTTAGTTAGATTAGTTGTAGACAGTTTTGCGTATTGTTTAGGGTAGTTAAGTTTATTTATAATTTTTTATACTCCTGATGAATTTTACCGTGTTTAAATAAAGAATTTTTCTATTCTATTCTAGACCCCCTGGAAATACCCCCACCCCTCGGAAATTGCCTCCTTTTCGACCCCCCTCCCCTTGGAATTTCCTTTGCCCTCAAGGGGGGGGTGGGTAAGGATATTTTCTGGAACTTAACATTACAACTCGAGGCTATTTTGGCGGGAAATTGCCTAGCCACCAGCGTCTTGTGAAGCAGAGACAACTAAAGAGTCAATCAAAACGAAAACGGAAAGCGGAAATTATTTCTATATTCGTGTTGTCTAAACTCTTAAACTTAGATTAATTGTCATGTCCACAAAGACGGAGGAGAAAGACGGAGAAAGACGGAGGAAAAAAAACAAGTAAGCGACAGGCCAGCAAAGCTTAGCGAGAAAAAGAAAAAGAGCGACAGAGGGCTAGAGCTAGAGATCAAAAACAAAATTTAAAGAGACATTTTTTGTTGGAAGAACAACATTAAGGACTTTTATCAACGGTGAGAAAATGAGAAATCCTAGCGACCTCAAAGGTGAAAATGAGCAGCAGGGAAAAAAAACGTGGACAAGAACACGTACGGCAGTCCCTCCATAAAGGTGACGTTACTCGGGACGATTCGCAACGACAACTTTTAGCGCAACACATCCTTGCAATGTTGGAACAATGTTGCCACGCTGTGTTACGCTAAAAATCGTCGTAACGGTTACGAATCGTCTCGTGTAACATAACCTTGAACCCGCGTGTAACTGGGACGTTTCTGGAAGTTTCACGTTGTAGTTGTGGAAGGCAACGGCAAAGAAATGTCCAAAAAAGTGTGCTGAAGGTGCAAAGTTTCTTTTTTTTGGTTATTAAACCTATTGTTGTTTTTTCACCGTTCTCTTTGCCTTTGCAGCTTAAGGTGATGTTAAGGTGATGTTACACGGGACAATTTGCGACGACGATTTTTAGCGCATCACATCCTGGCAATATTGGAACAATGTTGTAACTATTCGAAGCAATGTCTCAACAATGTTGCAACCTGTGTTGCGCTAAAAATCGTCTTTGTGAATCGTCCCGTTTAACATCACCTTTCAATTGCACGATCTTATATTTTGTTTGAGCAAACTAATTATTATCGAGAGCTTCGCTTTTTGTCCTGGCTAAATAACAATTATTCACCGAAGTGGAGGTGGCTAGTCCTGGATATTTACCGAACTGCAAAGCAGTGAGGTAAATATCCACGACTAGCCACCGACAGGAGGTGAATAAGCAACAACTAAATCTTTAGCGCATCACAAAATGACGATTTTTACAAACATTGTTGTTACAATTTTAGCTGTAGGCGGCTGCGACCATCGCTTTTGTTCCGAACATTAAAAAACATTTGTTTGTTGCGCTTCAAAAATCGTCTTTTTTTATAAAAAAAGATTATTAAAATCGTCCCGTTTATGAACAATCAACTAAATTAAGCAAGCATTGCATTTGATTTTAAACAAAAACGTTTTTTTTTTGAGCAAAAAATACAAAGCTTTTATTATCGAAGAACTTCGTCACCTTCTTCGTTTTTGTCCTTTGTTTGTTTACGGCTAAATCGATATATTAGTTTGGCGTTTTCGGAGGAACTGGAGGTTGCCAATCGGATTGTCGCCCAAGGTTGCGGATTGTCGCCCCATGTAAGGGAATTAGAATCCTAGGGTTTCTGGAATCTGGATTTCCTTACATTGGGCGAAAAATGATTTACTTTTAGGTCATGATGGGGTTATGGTTAAATTTGCTAAAAATAAATATGACTGCCTCCCAATACGTTTATTACCCCCGCAGGGTTAAGAAATCTCCTTCAAAAATAGAGAACTCATTGTCGGGCATGATGAGTGAGGAGTTTGAAAAGATCCAGACCAAGTCCGCTGAGCGAGTCAGAAGCAGACTCAACAAACTAAACAGGTAGGAAAATTAGCGTAAGCTGAGAATTTTAATAGATTTATTTGCTATGTGCGAGACAAGAAACTGCTAAATGAATTGTTGGACTAATGAATTAAAAGGGTATGTTCCGAGAGTATTAATATTTCTTAGTATGATAATATTATACTAGCTTGTTAGCAAGCGCACACTCTAGGGCGCTCTGGCGGCGGAGCGGGAAAGGGAAGGAGAGCCTGCAACTACATCTCTGGAATTTGAATATCTGGATCGAAAAAGTCGATAAAAAAATGCTGATTGGCGGAGATGACATTTAGTAACGACGTCATTACTCTTGGCACGTGTTTTTCAGTGTTTGTCAGGCATTTGCAGGCTAAGGGCTTTTTATCCAATAGGCGCTTATACAACCGGGATAGAAAAAGCGCTTCGAAACAAGCTATAGCAGTGCTTATTATATTAGGTTTTGTTTTTGTTTTTGTTATATTAGGCTTTGTTTTTTTTGTTTTTAATTAAAGTTCGACACGTCATAACAAATCAAATTCAATTTAAGCTATTAGCTACCGGCGAGTTTATATCCGGTGACGGGCTTATAATCGCATGATTTTTTCGCTTCCAGTCCGGATACTAGTCTAAAACATGGCGGAGGCGGGAGGAGGGGTTGGGGGAGGGGTCTTATAAGCGGTTTAACGTATAAGTCGTCAACTCCCTTTATGAGTTTAAACTGGAAAGTTAATTAGCGTCCAATATCTCATTCGTGATAGATAAAGGGAACAATCTGGCCGATAAGATTCGATATGAGGCAACGATACCTTATTTATCCTAGAGTTTACGCTTAGTTAATCAACTAGTTTACTAGTCAACGACCCTAGTTTATTTTAAAAATTAAAAACTAAAAATGTGCAATTATAATTCACATAACCCTAAAGCTAAGAACTAAGAATCGATAAACGATTCTTAAGTTCCAAGCAATCCCTCTCTATGGTAGTTACTATATGAGGTATACTGAACCAGAATATTAAGCAAAACAACTCAACAGAGTTTTAATCCATCGTGGCAAAACCAACAATCCCCGTTACTTGTGCGCACTACTAATAAAAGAAAGCAACGCGAAAGACCGTTTTGACACGACGTCACGGCGTCCATATTAGAGTACGGGAAAAAAAGTCCTCTCGGGATTGAACTCTTCCTCATGTAAACGTTTTTCAATTTTCAACAAATTCGCATTGTAGCTGATCGCGTCAGTAAAAACGATTTATACAATAACTGTCGATCAGGTATTTCAAAATTTCACGCTAATTTTTCCTAGGAAGGAGAGAGAATCATTTGTGAGGAAAGTATTGGTTTTAGAGCCGTCTTCGTTGTACAAAGTGGATTTAAAGCGAGTTCAGCAAACTGGCAGGGATGTCAGTGAAGATTATGACAAAGAAGATGTGAAAACAGCACGCTGGTGAGAATATATACAGCAGATAATTTTTAACATCTAGACGTAACGTTAGATGATTAGATTTGCTTTGACAATCAGCTTCCAAACACCATACCAAAAGTGAACTCGATGAGGCTCCCTCCCATATCCAAAAGTAGGCTTGAAGAAAAAAATACAATCGGCGACAAAATTAGTTGAGACCAAGAGCCATGCTCTAGTTGAGACACTATGCAATAAAGGGTCTTTCTAAGTTTTGCTAATTTTAAAAATGGGAAATTATCGCTTTCTCTACCCCACCCCGTCCATGCAATGTTATGCTGTTGTTCAAGCCACCAGTAGAAAACAACAAACAGACAAACACCGTGACTTTGAATGGATGGGAGAGGGGAGGGGTGTGGATTGATTTGTTCTCCAAAGTTTAATGACAATGTCTTAACAATTTTGTGGCCGATTGTGGGTAGTTTTCAACGTTTCTTATTCTAAAGACATTTTGAGTGCCTACTTCGTTGCTATGAAGTATGAAGAGACACCGAAGAGAAATGAATTACTTCCACTTAAACTATGCTTATTGCCTACTATGCATGCAGGTTCCAAGATTTAGAACGAGAGGCTCAAGAGCTTGGACTTCAAAGAGAAATTAAAGTGATTTGCTTGTTTAGCAAGTTGTATCCATTTGCAATTGACGACGTGACAACTATTCCTTTCGCCCAGGTTTGTTTTAATATGTAAGATTTAAGGCGGTCTACTGTACGATCACTAAACAAAACATTCAAAAATTATTTGACGTTTACAGAAACCTCAAAGCGTGATATTCAAGTACAACAATTCCTCAAGTTGCGAAATGATTAAGTAAGAGCTTTGGAAAACAAGACCCCCTAAATGTAGGTACATTGGGCTGCTGCCCTGCCGAACATATTAATCTGGATAGACAGAATAGCTTTAAAGCAATATTAGACAAAACACAGCTAATTAATTTCATCAAAGCTCTTCAATGAAGTCGTGGGTGACCCCGGGCACACTCTTCACAAACTCCTTCCTTCCAAGAATTCAGCAAATTACTTTCTAAGGAGGAATCGGAACTTTGCCTTACCTTTGTGCAAGACCAATCGATGCAAAAAATCTTTCATTTTTAGTCACGTTTTCTGGGCTTAGTAGTGTTTAATTAGTTAGTTATAGTAGCAATTTTATACTTTTTACCTTTTTATTGTTATATTTTATATGAATTTTTTTTAATTGTAATGTCCTTTTATTGTAATGTCTTTCGTAATTCAGCCTATGGCTGCAAGGTATTAAGACAATAAAGCATCTATCTATCTATCTATCTAATTAAAAACTTATGTTCACCACTGAACAAAACAAAATGTCCTATTTTAATAAATACAGGACGAGGGTAATAATTTTCGGAAGTTCCAGTTAGATCAATTTAGTCACGTTATACTGTCATGTAATATTTTGGTTGCTGAAGGATTTGGATTGGGGTACAATGTGGAAATGTCCCAGTTAAAAATAATACCTGTCTTTTTTTCTCGTTTCAAAAGGTTTATTTGTTTATTTATATTTTTATTCATATTGGTAGAGTCGACGATTTCCATTCTTCTTGTTTAAATCTGAAATGACCCACCCTCACCCATCCTCCGCCATCAATAGTCAAAAGATTGGCCCCAACGAGACACGCATCTTCTTCTGGGAGATCCGTCCGCCATTTTTGTGTTCATGGGACCTCGATGACGAAGCACAATTTTGTATTGGGCTTTGCCACAGGCAGCCCAATGATGATTGCAACACCAAATACCATTGTCAGGCTCCTGCATTGTTCTATTTTTTGTAGGCTAAGCTTTGTCTGGTCGTCCAGTCCCTCCCAATCTATGAACTATGCTCATTACCAATGATGGATGCATTGAAGGTCAGCGATCATTAACTTATTTCGGCCGAGAATAAATGATTTTATGCAGCTAGTTACACCGTCAGGCTAATGTTTAATCGTTAGAGGGGGTACATTACGAACGAGACCTCGACTACTTATTATTTAATTCAGTACAGGCCTGATTGCAGGTCTCTTTTTCTCCAGCTTCAACACGAAATAAGTTTCTGCTTTAAATGTAGTTTTCAGAATTCAGAGCATTCATCCATGGGTGATTCGATCAATCTTTCATTGCCTTGGCCTGCATAAAATGGATTGATAATAACTGAGGCGCAAGTCCTAGTTCATTTTGTAGTTGCTTTCACTGTCTTGATTCACCACGACTATTACTCTAGTGAACATCTTTAATATTCCCATATAACAGGAAAGGAGCTCGAGTGTGTGACAACTTTTCTTTCCTTTTTTATCTTTTTTTCTTGGATTAAGCGGACACTGGTGAAAGAGTTCCTCTGCTTTAAGGGTTATGTCATGGCAAGTTTGCAATTTTTTTCAAAGCTGAGCTAAATTTCCTCAGTCTCCTTTTTTTATGGTCGGAAATCTAAAAAAAGAGAAAGCAAATGATTCTCTGACGGAAAACAGAGCATGACCAGTTTTTCATCATTTTTTAACAGTTCAGTAGTTTTTGCAAAGAATTTTGTTTTTCAAGTTACAGTATGTTGCATCCAAGCCGTCGAAAACCTTCAAGAAACACGCACTTGTATATGAGATATGATGGCGTAGTAGTTTTAATTAGTATATACTAAGACATTGGATAGAGTCGCGCGCTCTGATTGGCTACTCAACCTCCCGGTATCCAGTGCTATTCACTGATTCACCTTCATTCACTGCGACGCCAAACTCGCGTAAGTTACGAGCATAATAGCTTTCCGGTACTTTACTGCCGAAACAAACAAAGAAACTTCACAAATAATCAAACAAGCTGTTACCGGAATACACGAAGAAGGTGACGAAATTCGGTTTGGAAGTTTAAATTAAACAGGTGAAGCTTTGACATGAATTCAGCCATGAAACCAGTGAAAAAGTTTTTTGTTATGCAACTGGAGTCTTGCGTTTCTTTATTTACTAGCTGTCATGTTCATAAAACGAGGCTTAAAACTACATTTAATAGGTTTTTACAGAATGTTTTCAGACACAAAAAGAATCACGACTCCTTTTGAAGAAATTTCCCTGGCGCGCAAGAGCTTAACTTGACAAATGCAATGCCTTCCAAAATTTTATTTGTCTGCCAGAAGACGAGACGGCCGTTCGGTCATTGCGCTCAATTATCTCACTGTTTCAGTGTATTCTAATATCCACCACTACTAGCCACCTCCATTGTTATATAGAACTGAACCATTATCTCATTATTATTATTATATTATTATTATTATTATTGTTGTTGTTATTATTGCTATTATTATTCAAAGTTATGGTTTTATTGTAATACTAAAAGATCATGACAAAACTTCTTTAAATAACAGTTCTTCTTCTTCTTTTTCTTTCTTATTCTTTACATTTAGTTTCTTCTTGTGAATATACTGAACACCTCAACAGGAACGTTCGACGAATGGATGAATCAAAGGAAACTTTTGCCTGCAGTCAAGTCTAACTGACTTCAGTTATCACTGACTTTAATATCCCTCTATGACTATACTGTTTACTTAACCGTTAATTTGATGGCTTAGTTTGCAATATGCCCTCATTTTCAAGATAATAATAAAGTTTGCTCTTTATTTAATTTTGTCAAACTGGATTAAGCAAATCCGAGCTGACTGACTGTGTAGCACCTTGCAGGAGTGGTTTTTTGTTTTCTTTGGAAGTATCACAGAACGGATTTTTTCATATTACTAAAAGTGGTGATTGGCTGACTTAATAGAGTACGTCATGAAGCTTGAAAGAGTTAATTCAGGTCTTAAAGCCCGCTTAAAATTTACTAGTTGAGAGCTTTACAAACCAAAGACAATACATTTTCTTACGTAAGATAAGAAGTCCGCGGTTCGTTTGTGAACTATCTTCCCTTTCATTACACTCGTGTGCCTATTCCTGCATGATTTAGTTTACTACTGGCCGAGGATTTTGGTACATACTGAGAAAGGAGACAAATGATTAATTGGTGGATCGTTAAAATTCTGTTGATCATCTTATCAGTATATATTTACTTCCCGATGTGCAAAAAGCCAATCTTATTTTTTACCGCGAATTTTATCCTACGCCTGCACTAGTTTAACGTCTGGTTAAGCCTGGTTTGACAACCAGAAAAGTCTGGTTGGTTCAACCAGGCGTGCATCCTGGTAAACCATGGTTTAGCAAGGCTTTTGGCGCAAGGGGAAAGTGGAGAATCACATATCGGATAGGTTTTCATAATCGGGGAAGCGGTCGACTCGCTCTAGCCTGTTCCAGGCGTTTATAAAGCGGAATGCGGCGCGAAGTCAAAGAGCGAGGAAAAAAATAAGGATCATGATGTAGCATTTAAACGTTGACAACAAGCAAAACAGTTGAAAAAAGATCAAAGATATGGCAATTTGGCCGCTACGTGTATACGTGTATTACGCCACATGGATGTCTATAATTTTCAACACATTCCTTTGTTTAGCAAGAAAATGTCGCACGAAATTAATAGAGCTTTTCGACTTCTTTAAAAGGGTACTTTTTGCAAAACAAAATTGCCTGAAGTGGAAGTGTTGCTGGGCCTGTTTCTTCCTAAACACTGTACGATCACTTCCGGGCGCGTAACATTAAATTTGGCGGGCATTTAGGAGGTTTTGGCGCGGATATGTTCGAGGCAGAAATAAATAAATTAAAGTAAGAAAAATCGAACACTGTGCTAACCTTCAAGGAGTCTTACGATTAAGCAAGTCATAATAAAAACCAGAATTAATGTGTCGCAAGGTAAACCTACTGATCTAAGGCTGAATTGGCCTCGCTTTTGAACCAATGTGACGAAGGAAGGCTGGCCATCTCCGGTTGTCAGAAGAAGTTTGAACTCTCCGAACCTGTCCGATCTGTTAAAATTTTCTTTCATATACCAGTCGCTTCTAAGAGAAATGATTTTGAATCAACAAAGAAATTCTCGACCGGGATACGGCAAAAAAGAACTGACATATACTCCATACAATGACGTCTTGATTGGGCTGATCCTATCCGGAGAATAGTTGAAAAGACCGCGCTCGACTAGCTTGTTCACGTACAGACGCTCTATTTTCTCTTCAAAGTCCGTCGAGCGCGGTTGATAAAATATAAACCGCAGGGGATTTATTAGCCTGAGATCATGCCCTCTCCCTATTATCCCTTTATGTCTCTCACGGGAAGAGGGCATGATACATTTCTTTGTCGGATCACATGTAAAAAAGCCAGAATCTGGACTTTTTTCTGATTGGATAGGAAACAATATGGATGATTTGCGCTGTTCCGATTGGCCAAAATGCCGACATCCGTTAGTTGTTGTGGATTTCAGTCTGCATTTTTGCTTGCGAAATGAGCAGTGAATACACACGCGAGTTCGTTTTGAAATTTCTGCCGGCTCAGTTTTCTTGAATTTGAAGAATGCCTAAATAGAAATTTCATCCATTGAAATATTTTCCATCTCATCGTATACTAAAAAGTTGCAGTCAAAAATTCACCGATCATTTGAATGCAATTTGATACCGGCTACAAGATACAGAGGCGACAAACGGGTTCACTTTTTAAATAATCAATTCATGAATGGAATCTTGAGCAGGTTTGACTGTAATTCCTCCTTCAGAAGCCTGCGAATTATTCTGAGCGATCGTCGCTTTCACAACACTTTTCAGTTCGTGAAATATAGTGCTTCAGCCTAATTTTTTTTTCACTGCTTTCGGCACAGAACGAAGTCAACGAGCTTTTGCCAGTAAATTCTTTATTATTTGTAGCTGTTGAAGGTACGGCAACTCCAGCAAGCAGTATTTCATCAGAAAAACAACACATTTAAAAATTTTTTTTAGGAAGCGCCATCTGAACTCTTTTCCCTAAAACTGATTTCAAAAGAGACATTATATTATTCGCGCCAAAATTTGATTCCCGTCTTGTAAACGCTGATTGGCTGATAACATGACAGGTCAAGCAGACGTTAGACTATGTAAATTAGGAGGCAGTTGACGGCTTGTTAAATAAATGTATCAGGCGTTATTTTTTTCCCCTCGAGGCAAAGAAGCAAAGAAGCAAAAAAAGAAAAAATAATAAAAAAAAACGCCTGATCTCAGGTTAGGGATTTATTGACCACCAGCGCAAGGGGGTAGTGGTGGGGGAAGAAGAATTTTTATTTCCCGCGCTCTGCGTTCTCGCGCGCTCGCGAGCTCGCCGATGTTTTCGAATAGAACAAAAAAGAAAAATAAAACAACGTCTGTGTACAGGCTAGTGCTCGACTTTGTTAACCCCGCCTAGTACTGTTTTAGCCATATTAACAGACAGTTGCGATCGATGACAGCCAGTCTAACCTGAGATCAGGCTCTCTTTTCGTTTCGCTTTGAAAATTACATCCCGGCGGGCAAGGCGAAACGAAAAGAGAGCCTCATACAAACCTTCTACCAAATGTCTTCCACCCAATTTTTTGATTGATTGACATTTACCGAATCAACCAGCCAAAATTACTTCCGCAAATTCTTCATACGTGGGAAAAATGCACACTCGCTGACTTGAAAAATGGCTATTATCTTTAAATTTTTTCAACTAAAAATAAAACGGTCGGCACAATCACATTTAAATTCTTGCGAGATTAAAGGAGATCTCAAAGGTGTATTAACATTTCTGTTGGCGTAGAAGGTAAAAAGTTTTCGAAAAGACGGCGACACGATGTTCTAGTTTTAATATTTTTACTAGGCGCGCTCGAATGTAAAATACTAAAATATCTATTTGTCCGTTGCCTTAATTTTTCCTCCGCAATTTTTCAGTACATAAATCTTAAAACATCTTGGAGAAATATATCGCGAATTTTTTCAATGGATATATAAATTATCTCAGAACAAACCAAATGAGTTGTTAAGTGCATATTCTGATTTAGTCCCGTGCGTACACTTGCAATTTGCGAATTTACTAAAGAAACAACAAAAAATATATTTTTCTATAAATCTAGGTAAGTGTTAATTATCTGCCACTTTGGAAAAACGAAACGAAACTTCTAAAACTGCATGCTCAACTGACCTACAAACAAAACGAAAAACAATATTACAAACACAGTTTGTAGTTCTCCTTAGTTGTGTTGTTGTTTTACTGTAGGTCTAAAAACTTGGATCGCTTAATTTGTTAATCGAAAT